TAGTAACAGGCATCTTTTCTGACCACAATGACATGAAGCTAGAAATCAAATTCAAGAAGAAAGATGGAAAAACCACAAATATGTGGAAATTAAACAAAATGCTACTGAACATGATTGGGTCATGAAGAAATCAAAGAAGAAATTCAAAAAAATACCTGGAGACAAATGAAAATGAAAATAAAACATGCCAAAAGTTATGGGTACAACAACAATGGGTACCAAGTGGGAAGTTTATAGTGATACAGGCCTACCTCAAGAAACAAGAAAAATCTCAAATAAACAATGTTATAGTACATCTAAAGGAACTAGAAAAAGAAGAGCAAACAAATCCCAAATAGGTAGAAGGAAGGAAATAATAAAAGAGCAGAAATTATCAAATAGAGATTAAAAGACAAAAGGATCAGTGAAACCAAGAGCTGATCCTTTGAAAAGATAAACAAAATTGACAAACCTTTACCCAGGCTCACCAAGAAAAAATGAGAGAAGGCTCAAATAAATAAAATCAGAAATGAAAGAAGATAAATCACAACAGACACCAGAGAAATACAAAGAATCATAAGACAATAGTATGAAAAGCTATATGGCAACAAATTGGATAATCTAGAAGAAATTCATAACTTCTTAGAATCATACAACCTTTCCAAAACTGAATCAAGAAGAAACAGAGAATCTAAATAGTCCCTGGTAAGATTGAAACAGTAATCAAAAACCACCACAAATCCAAAAGTCCAAGACCAGATGGCTTCACTGGTGAATTCCACCAGTGAAAAAGATTTAATATTTTTTTCCTTCTCAAACTCTTCCAAAAAACTGAAGAGGAGGGGAAGTTTCCTGACTCATTCTATGTGGCCAACATTACCCTGATACCAAAGCCAGACAAGGATAACACATAAAAAAGAAAATTATAGCCCAATATCACTGATGAACATAGATGTAAAAATCCTCAGGACAATATTAACAACTAGAATACAATAATACATTTAAAGGACCATGCACCATGATCAAGTGGTATTTATTCCAGTAATGCAAGGATTCATAATATGCAAATCAAGGTGATATACCACATTCAAAAAATGAGAAATAAAAATCACATGATCATCTCAATAGATGCAGAGAAAACATTTGACAAGACTCACCATGCATTTATGATAAAAACTCTGAATAAAATGGGTATAGAAGGACGGTACCTCAACATAATATTATTAAAGGCTATATATGACAACCTGCAGCTAACACTATACTCGATATGAAGAACTGAAAGTTATCTCTCTAAGAACAAGAACAAGACAAGGAGACCGACTTGTGCCACTCTTATTTAACACAGTAATGGAAGTCCTAGCCAGAGCAATCAGCCAAGAAAGAGAAATAAAAGAGATCCAAATTGGAAAGGAAGGAGTGAAATTGTCATTCTTTAACGAATTCTTTGCAGATGACATGATTTTATATATAGAAAACCCTAAAGAAATCTACCAAAAAACTATTAGAAATAATAACCAAATACAGTAAAGATGCAAGGTATAAAATCAACATACGAAAATCAGTTGCATTTCTATACACTAATAATGAAATAGCAGAAAGAGAAATCAAAAATGCAATCCTACTTACAATCGCAAAAAAAATAAATAGGAATAAATTTAACAAAGAGGTGAAAGACCTGTAAACTGAAAACTATAAAACACTGTTGAAATAAATGAAGAAGACACAAAGAAATAAAAAGGTATTCCATGCTCATGGATTGGAGGAGTTAACATTGCTAAAATGTATATGTTACCAAAAGCAATCTACAGATTCAATGCAATCCTATTTAGAATCTAAGTGATGGGCTGGCCTGGTGGTACAGAGGTTAAGTTTGTGTGCTCTGCTTGGCGGCCCAGGGTTCACCGGTTAGGATCTGGGGTGCAGACCTACACATTGCTAAACGAGCCATGCTGTGGTGGCATCCCGCATAGAAGAACTAGAAGGACTTACAACTACGATATACAACTATGTACTGGGGCTTTGGGGAGGAAAAAAAAAGAAACCCAATGACATTTTCCATGATAATAGAACAAAAAATTCTAAAATTTATATGGAACAACAAAAGATCCTGAATAACCAAAGCAATCCTGAGAAAAAAGAAGAAAGCTGGAGGTATCACACTCCCTGAATTCAAAATATACTACAAACCTAAACTAATCAAAACAGCGTGATACTGGCAAAAGAACAGACACACAGATCAATGGAACAGAATCGAGAGCCCAGGAATTTGCACCCCTATGTTCATTACAGCATTATTCACAACAGCCAAGACTTGGAAACAACCTAAGTGCTCATCAATGGATGAGTGGAAAAAGAAGATGTGGTATATATATACACAAGGGAATACTATTCAATCATAAAAAAGATGAAATCTTGCCATTGCAACAAGATGGAAGGACAGTGAGGGTATTATGCTAAGTGAAATAAGTCAGACAGAGAAAGCCCGGTACTAATGATTTCACTCGTATGTGGAAGATAAAAAACAACAGCAACAACAACAAACAAATACACAGATATAGAGATTAGATTGGTGGTTACCAGAGCAGAAGGGGGGAAGTGGGGACGTTGAAAGGAGTAAAAGGGCACATGTGTATGGTGATGGATGGTAATTAGTCTTTGGATGGTGTACATGAGGTAGTCTACATAGAAATCAAAATATAATGGTGTACACCTCAAAAAAATTATAAACCCTAGAGTCACATTATAGGAAAGAGATAAAATGAGAGTTTAAAGCAGTCTTCTGACATTTTAGCAGTAATTCTAGCATTCCTTTACCTCCATTAACTCATTATATTTCCCTTCAAGTAAATGTTAGTAATCAACATTAATTTTCTTCCATTTATTTTCTGTTTGTTTATAAAAGATTGATGTGCTGAGAAATTATGTACTTATATATGTTAATGGGAATGGAAGGAATGTGGTTAGAGCCACATCATTCAATCCTTTGAACTTCTTCTGAGGCAAATGATAAAATCAGAGAATACAAGTTAATAAAAACTAATTTTGAAATTTCTGTCAGGTGAAAACTCAATTAGATTCTATTGTAATTTTGTTAAAAGCAGAGCATTAGAAACCATCAGACTTCAAAAAAGGTGGTACCCCATCATGATGGTTATTTGCTTTCTTAATGTTTGTGATATCTTCTAAAAAGAGTTTCTCAGAACTTAAATATATGTTGACCATTAAGTACACAAAGTATGTTTCACTTAAAGACACCTTGTGTAATCTGAAATAGAAAGATTTTCAAATCTAAAAATCAATTTCAATACACTGCTACCAAGATGACATTTGTTCTCAAATTATTTTATTAAATATATATTTTGACACAAATCTTGAATTATAAAAGAAATATGTATGGGACAAAATCCTATTTTGTTATTTCTTTCCAAATCTTCTCCATTCTTCTTTTGTTCAATCAATTGGGAAAGTTTATTCCCTTTTCTTACTTTTCTAAGATAAAAATGTGCTTCCTTGATATGGTTTCAGGGTTTTTTTTGTTGTTCTTTTTGTTCATTTTATTTTTTCTGATTACATTCATCCTACCAATTTACTGTGCACTGGAAATTTTCTACTCATTTTCATTTTCTCTGTTGGGCCCCTCAACATTTACATGAGTTTTTCCATTTTATTTTTCAGAAAAACTTCAGAAAGAAATGGGTAACTTTTTCCTGACATTCTTTTTCACTGTTGTATTCCCTAGAAATATTATTCTTGTCCTTTCCTGACCCTTCACTTTACCCCTTCCTGTCTTACCTCTTCCTTCTTGTGAATTTCAAATCACCTTATCTCTTTTCTTTCTGGCATCCTGGACTCCTCCCATGTTATGTTTCCTTCCCATCATCTTCCTGAGATTTTCTTCATTCTCTTTCCTTTCTTTGCTATATCCTTAGGCTTTTTCTATCTTTCAGACGATTACTATAACTTCCTTATAAGATTGGTGAGATGAAGTGGATTAAGCTAAGAAGAATGTGGCTTTCTTCATTCAGCAGAACACTTCCTTTAACTTGTGTTCTCTAATATGTCGCCTGAGATGGAGTGCCTATTCTTTTGTACGTGATATTGTCATGGTTTTTAAGAGAAGTGTTCAAACTCCAAAACTGCTGAGTGAGATAAGTCCTCCTTTTGCTGACCTTTTACAGACTTCATATATACTGAGGTGAAGAGTAATTTTGAGACTAGCTAATCCACTTCTCTTGACCATATTCTCAAGTGTTCTAAAGTACATAAATATTTTTGCATAATTTTGCCTGATTTTTTCTTTACAACCATAATTACTACTGTTCTTTCATTTTTATTTTAATCCATTCAACTATTAATTCAACAAATTGCTAAACCATTTTTTAGTACCCCATTACAAGAATTATTTAAATTCTCATGTCCTTTCATATCTGATTGTATTCTTCAAATTATAGTGAAGTTTTCAAGCTAAATGCACTTTAGAAATTTCTTTCATTGCATTTGAAATGGACATTACTTGGCCAATTTGCAGACACAAATATTGGCAGATGTATGACTTTAATTGCATGTTCTTTTAACGTTAAGAAAGCCTGTGTTATATATTCATGTTCATCTATGTTTCTCTCAGGTAGGAGGAAGGCCCAATTCAAGTCGGGTGAGTGATGATTGTCTCTCAGAAAGCTCCATTCTTCTTTTTCTCTTAGATTCTGCCCCTGTAGCATTGGGATAGGATGCAGAAATACAACAGAAATGTCTATAGTGGGCTAAGAAGCATTTGAAGCATTATCTTTCTAAATTTCAGTAACTTCAATAAATTCTCTCTGACGTGCAAACCACAAATGATTCAGCATTTTCTACCTCCTCCCCTCCTTTCCCTCTTCCTTCCTTTCGCTCCTCCTCAGTCTTTCTGACCTCTTGTTGCTTCTATGTTTCTAGCTGTCCTCTTATTGATCATTTTTACCATCACCTTGGAAAAAATGGAATGTGAGGATATAGGATAAAAAGAGAAAGTCCAAAGGATTTAGAAGAAGAAATGTGACAAAGACAGGGAGATATGGAAAAAGACAGTGAAAGAAAACACTAATGGAGAAAAAATAAAGGATTTCCTATTCTGTTCCTTTGCAGCCTGGAGAAACGCACCATTATATGCTGGTGAGTGACATGGAGTCTGATGAAGAAAATCCTGTTATCAGAGATATTTTAAATGAATACATACTGTGTACAAAACAATTGCTGAAAATCAAGGAAACTCCAAAGAATAATTCCATGAACTCAATAGATTACTCAATATTTTAACAGATAATAATGTGTTTGAAGCATTAAATTTTAGCAGTTTTATTATTTTTTAATCTGCATCTCACATCATTCTTTGAGGATACATAAAGGGTTATTACCTGCTTTAAAATATAAGGAGACATAGCCAAGAGAAGTTATTTGGTCAGACTGACCATATTCCCTCTTTCCTCGCCAACATTCTAAATAGACACTTATCCTGTGAGAATGTTGGATGAGGAAAGAATAGAGATGGGTCAGGTCTTCAAGTCAGACATAAGTTAGCAAGCTGTGAAAAGAAGTGCAAGTTTATGAAAGAAAACTTTCTTTGGTTGCTATCACTCTTGAATTAATCCTAAGGAATTTATAGTCGCATTATTCTGGACAGATAAGCAGTTTTACCTTCAAATGGTAAGTTCTCATGTTCATTTTTCCTTGCAGATTGGAGGAAAGAAGAGTTTGAAGCTGGTGAGTCTATGAGGATCCAGGAGGGACCCTGCTCCTTGTCGGGTGGTCTCAGGGAATGATGAGTGGACGTAAGCTGGATCTACCTCATTCTGTGAGGACTCCTCTGGCCGAGGCCTAGAGACCTTTTCCAGAAATATGATGGTCCGCTTGTCTTTGCAGTAAATTTGACTCTGGATGCAGCCTCTGCCCATCCTGCCCTCCGCTTGTCTGAAAAAGGGAGACAAGTAGCCTGGCAAGAAAGGCCTCAAGATCTACCCAGCTCCACACAGAGATTCGACTCCCTCCCCTGTGTGCTTGGTCAGCTAAATATCACCTCAGGGAGATGCTACTGGGAGGTGGAGGTCGGGGACACGTGTTCCTGGGACCTGGGAATTTGTAGGGATAACATAACAAGGAAGGGGGTGGTCACAATGTCCCCACAGAATGGTTTCTGGGCCATCAGGCTCTATGAGGGGGAGTACTGGGCCCTCACCTCCCCAGAAACTCTTCTTATTCTAAGAGAAATACCCCTTAGTGTGGGAATATTCCTGGATTATGAAGCTGGAGATGTATCTTTCTATAACATGACAGATGGCTCCCACATTTTCACTTTCCCCCAGAACACATTCTATGGTATCTTAAGACCTCTTTTCAGACTTTGGTCCTCTGACTCAGGCCCCTTGACTATTGTCAAGGTGGAGCAGAACTGACTGATATTGCAATTTATATGCCTACCCATCTCCTACTAGCCACAAATCGATTTTTTTCTTCCTCCTTACTGGTTCATTCTCAAGATGAAGTTCTGGGACACAAACAGATGGTTGCCCCTCATATCAATTCTCCCTTCTTCCTTAGTTATAGGCTCCTTCTTCTTATTACTGTGCCCTATGACAGCCTAGTATAAAGATTAGATTTCCTAGCCCTACCTGCTGAATGTGACTACGTGATGAGCAGTGCATTATAAACTGAATTACTCTGTATGACTTATGGAATATGTCCTTAAAGGCTAATTCTATGTCTTTTTTGTTTTCTTTCCTTTTACCAATGGTTATAATGTGTCATGATGCATGGAAACCGTAGAACATTTCTGACATTGTAATGTGACATGGATGGCAGAGAACACAATGAGCATGGGTTTTTGACAACTTCATGGAACTACTCTATTGCACAATTCTTGAATTATTTTCTGTGAGAAATAAACTTTTATCTTTTGGCCATTTATACATTGGATTTTTGACAGTTATGATTGAATCTAATCATAACTGATGCAGCCTCCCTATAAGAACAGCAGCAGATGACATCCATAGTTGACTATGCAGGTGAAACAGGTGTAAAGTCCTGTACTTGCTTGCTTAGCCACTCCTGCACTCCAGTGTGTCAGCCTCAACTGAGCCTCTCAACTTCCCCTGATCCATCAGTCCCTCTCGACTTCACTTGCTGCCCTTTCCTATGTAGATGCCTGACTAATAATTTTAAGTATTCTCTTACTAATAAATGAAAATCCCTGGACTCATTGTCTTTGTTTCCCATCTGCTTGGCCAAACTCCAAACACGAATAGATCTACTTATCCATTTCCCATACTGGGAGCTTAACCCTCTGTAAAAATCCACACATATGAGCAAATTGGTTCCTCTATAGTCGCCTATCACAACGTGGATGCCAGCACCATCTGGTAATCGTCCCACGTGTCTCCTACCATCTGCTGTTCCTTACTTTTGCACAGTCAATTTCATTAAAAGTTACACTTTCTTTAAACTTCAAACTCTGCTCTCACCTTACTCTGAATATATGACCTTGTTCACACTTTGAAAATAATAATAATAGACTAATATGCAATTATTCTATATAGTTATATTTTACTTATGTATACTATTATATGTTATATATACTATATGTCATATAGTATATATACAAATTATATAATTAGTATAAGAATAATTAGAATCCATCAGAAGGTAATTGTTTCATCTTTGTAATAACAAATATAACAAACCTATATAAATCTCTAACTCTCATTCCTTCCTCATTGTTATATTAAGAGAAGTATTCGTCTTCCTTTATAGAGAACACCACACCTATCTATTCTCTCTATCCATCCTGTACTGCCCTCTGTGGTACTAGGATCCATCAGTTTTTCCTCTCAGCCTTTCTACTATCTTCTACCCATGAAACTTGAAATTTTCAAAATCTTGCCCATCTTAATACAATACAATTTTCCATCAACTCTCTATCCTGCTTTATATATATTTCTAACTCTCTTTCATAATCAGACTTCTCAAAATAGTTATCAAAGAACCTTATTTCTACTTCGCTGATTCCCATTTTCTTCTCAGAATACTCTGTTACAGATTAAATTGTCTCTTAGCAAACCCCCCCCAAATTCATGTGTTGAAATCCTAACCTCCAGTTCATCAGAATGAAACCTCATTTGGAAGTAGGGTCATTGAGGATGTAATTAGTTAAGATGGAGTAGGGTGGAGTCCTAATCCAAATGACTGGTATCCTTATAAAAAGGGGAAATTTTGGCTCAGACATGCACACAGGGAGAACACCATGTGAAGACTGGATTTTTTCTGCCACAAGCCAAGAAGTGCCCAAGATCACTGGAAAACCACTAGAAGCATCTTCCAAACAGATCCTTCCCAAGCACCTTTAGAGGGAGCATGGCCCTTCCACTCTGTTCTCAGACTTGTAGCCTCCACATTGTGAGACAATAAACTTCTGTTGTTTCAACCATTCAGTTTGCTGTACTTTGTTACAGCAGGCCGAACAAACTAATATACTCTTTTCTTTAAAAATACAATTTGATCATTTATTTTCTTTCATATTAAACCAATGAAAAATGACTTGTTAAAGTTATTCCAGGGAGTTCTTACCTTTATATAAACTTCATGTCACACTTGAAGACCAACATATAAAAAATGTGCTTTAACCATACTAGGAATTCTGAAATTCTGATGAATCTATAAAATACTTAAAACTATGATAATTATGCCTTGCACTTACACTGTTCATAATTCCACATGCTTTTATGGCATTATCTCATGTCCAACTTAACATCCCCTATAAACATTTTATTCCTATTTTGTAGATGAGTAAAATAAGGGTTTGATTATTTAAATTACATGACTGACTTCTCCAAAGTAACATATTTACTAGATGCCAGAACTGGAACTGATCCCAAGTCTCCCAACTTCCCAAGTCCAAGGCAATTTTCGATAATCAATTAAACTTGCTCTCTTCTTTTTTATGTAGGCCAGGGCATCCTGATACATGTACTTCATGCTGAGAAGGGGTGACAGGTTTACAGTGTAAGAAGCCAGATTATAGCAGTGTGGCCAAAGAGAGTTATAGTAAATGGTGGGCATTAAGCTCTTCTAGTTTAAATGACCCTAAGCCAGTAATTCTCAAAGTGTGGTTCCATGGAACCTTAGTTCTCTGATAACCTCCTTTGTCAAACAAAGCTTGCAAATTCTTTTACAGTGCAAAGATTATAAAAATCCTGTAGGCTCCAGTACACTCTGGAAAACACTAAACTATTCCAACCCAAAAGCAGTAAAAAAAAATAGGAAAAGAACCTATCCTTATACACAAGGACTCAAAAATGTTAAAAATATTTCTGAAAATCATGTCTAAATTGCTTTTTCTGTTATTAAATTCTATTCGTTTAAGAAAAAAATCTGTAGCATAAGAGCCATGGTTTCCTTTATGGCATTAAGAGTTTGTGCTATTCTTTCCCTTCACTTCCTCAGTCCAGTATACCCCCAGGATACCCCAGTCCATTTCCACCTATGGGCCTGACCAGTGCACACATCCACATTAGTTGCCATAACAGAAGGCATTTTTAGAACCTGAAGATGCTACTGAGATAACGTAATCCAAGGTCTTGAAGGATTCTTTCCATCAACCACAATGGATTACCAGGTCTTTAAAAATCAGAAATGAATGAAAACATATTTGAATACCTTTGCAAGTGGTTCTCCACACTGGATAAACTTAGAAGCACAAAAATGGCTTTTTAACTTTAAGCTTTTAAATTCTGAAGCCCAGGCTTCACTTCAATTGAAATAGAATCTTCTGAAGTTTTGCCTGAAGCAGCAGTATTTTGTTTGAATTTCCTCCAAGAGATGTTACACACAGCTGAGTCCAGTCTTTGTTTTAAGTAGCATATGCACTTTTGAATTCTCATGCGCAAACATTCACTCTGGATTCTAATCAAACTTGCCAATTTTACAGATCAGCTTAGAGGACCTGAGGGGCTTGACCACGTGCCCAAGGTCACCTTGGTTAGTGCTATCTCAGAAGTGAGATTCCACCAGGACTTCAAGGTGTTTTGTTGTCATTGTTGTTGTTATGTCATACTGATTGCATAAAAGAAAGATCAAGCCTACACCACAATTTGCCTCAAAATTAGGAGATTCCTAGGACCTATGGTTTTATCTGGTCATCTGACACATGCCTTCAATTTTTCTGAGTTTCTGATTTCTAATAGCATATTTGTACTTATGAAAATCTATTTAGTCAGGCTTGACTCTGGTTCGTGGTGCTTCTACTTTTATCTTCCTCTCTGAGATGGTTAGTTTAGTGTGTCAACTTGGCTAAGCTAAGTACCCAGTTATTTCATCAAACACTAATCTAGGGTGTTGCTGTGATGGTATTTTGCAGATGATGAAACATCTACAATCAGTTGACTTTAAGTGAGATGATCACGCTCAAGAATGTCAGTAGGCCTCATTCAATCAGTCCAACTTTAAGAACAAAAACTGGTTTACCAGGGAAGAAATTCTGCCACAAGAGTATGGCATTAACCTGACTTTCCAGCCTGCCAGCCTATTTGCCCCATGGTTTTCAGACTTGCCAACATTCCAAAATCATGTGCTACTCAAAGAGCGTATCTACTATCAGTATAAATATGGGCAGTTTTGCCCTTGGCTAAAGTACAAGCCCATGCAAGAACATCCAATTCAGCCTGTCATACTGAAGTAGCCATTTGGTAAAGTACTGCCTCAATAAAATCAAAAGAAGTTGCAATAGCGTACCCAGTACAACATTTGCCATTGTCACCTTTTAAATAAGAACCCTCAGTAAACCATGAGAAGTCAGTGCAAGCCAAACGAGTTTCCTGCAGATCGTCATGAGGAGTTAGGAGTTGATCCATCAGCATAAGCAGCCATGAGGGATTTTGTTGGTAATGGAGGGGAGAAAAGTAGCAGTGTAAAGGTTATCAGAAAAGAGTTATCTGAGGATCAATTAAAATAACTTCATAGGAAGTGAGGCATCTGGGTCAAATGTGTTGAGTGTGGTGAAAATTCAGGAGAGCTTCTATACATGAGATACAAAAATGGGTAACAGGGATCCTACAATGATTTTCTTGGTGGCCTTAACCAAAAGGGCAGTGGCAGTAATGGCTATAAGGCAAGGGGAGTATCCCCATGCCACAGGGTCCAGTTGCTGGCTATAATACCCTATGGGTAAATGGCAATCCCCTTATTCTTGAGTAAGTTCCCCAAGGCCATTCCCTTCCTTTTCATATATAAAGAGAAAAAGGCAAATCTTATCATTGGGGTGTCCAAGGGCAGGTGGGTTCATCCTTAATGGCCTTTAAGACTATGTAATCTGGTTTTTCCCATAAAATTGAGTGGGAGTTGTTGTTCTTTAATAAAATATACAGGGGTTTGGCCATAAGAGAAAAATTTGGAATGCAATGTCAGCAATAACCAACTAGCCTGAGATAACCTCACAGTTGGAGCCTACTTTTGGGCTTGGGGAAATTAGGACACCATGAAGCCTATCTGGACCTAGGTATAGCCCTTGTTCTGATATCAGATGCCCTAAATTTCAAATCTGGGTTGAGGAAAAGTGCAATTTCTCCTTGGTGACCTTATGTCCCTTTAAAGCTAAAGCTTCAGCAAGTGGATCCTGTCTTCCTGTGAGGAGACTTGGGAAGGAGAGTAAAGAAGCAAGTCATCCACATATTGTAACAAAGTAGAACTCCTGGGGAACTTTACATCATCTGGATCAGCCTTCAGGACTTGTGAAAAGAAAAACAGCTCTCAGGAAAACCCTGAGGCATTACTGTCCAAGTGAATTGTTTTCCTTCCCAAATGGAGGTGAAAGTTATTGAAGAGCTTCATCAGTTGGAATGCTGAAGAATGCACTATGTAAATCAGTTACCATAAAGAATTTGCTCCCAGTGGGAATGGATGTTAGTAGCGTATGAAAGTTACGAAGACAAGGTTGTGGAGGAATAACAATGTTTTTATTGCTCAAAGGTCCTGGACAAATCTCTACCCTCAGCCCTTGGGTTTCTTACAGGTAAAATGGGACCATTACAGGGACTAGTACAGTGGATAATGAGGCCTTGAGCCCTATAATTTTTCTTTATCAGCTTTATACCTTGAAGGGCTTCTTTACTTATATGGTATTGACCTATTCTGGGGAGGGGGTGTGAAGGATCTATTTGAATATTGATGGGATATCTGCTGTGAATTTTACCAACGTCAGTTGATGGCAGCCGATTCAATAGGGACAAATGACCAGTGTTTCCAGAAGCAGCTCTAGTCCTGTCAGAGATGAAACAAGTAGAAGATGTCAGTGTCATTTAATTCTCCTGGTTGGCTGTTTTGATGACTACTGACAAATCTTACAATTATTTCCCCCTTTTTGGAGAAAGAAATTTCAGCTTGGAAATTTTTTAAGAAGTCTTGGTCTGAAAAATGAATAGGGGCGGAGGAACTAAGTTGAAAAGAGTTTGCGTCTCTCAAAGAGC